GAAACTCACAGAATGCGCAACATCTGGCGACGCTGTTGATGGAATTTCCGGGTGTGAAGTTGGCTCTTGACAGCTGCAGAAGACCAGACTGGGTATGACGTCTTCGCTAGCTGCAGAAACGCGAAATCAAGGCATGACGGCGCCACAGGCCTTCGGACAGCCGTGCGGCGACGTGTTGCTACATAATGGCGGCGTCGCGCATCTCTCCGCGCCTTGAGCACCTCCTCTGCCAGCGACCGACGTTCAGAGGTCGTGTTCCCTTGCGCTCGACAACCCCATCCTGCGACGACCCCAGATGTCACGAGGTCGTGCACCTGCCTTCCTCCACCGTCTGCGGGAATATCGCATGCCAACGAGCGCAAGCCGTGGAACAAAGGACACCCGGCTCGACTTGCGACAACCACTCGAGGACAAACCGGCCCAAAATAACAGACGCTGGCAGTTCGATCTGTTCTAGCGTCTTGTTTTGAGCCCTCTCCAAAATATCGGCCTGACTGGTCGGGAGTGGCTTGCTCCACTTCTGCGGGCGCGTATTCGGGCCACCACCTTTCCTAGATTTGCCTGTTCTAACTTGAGCCTCACGATCGTGTATGCCCTGCTGAAACTCTCTGGTCGTGCAGGCCTCTTCTCGAGGTATCATTGGTACCTGGTGGGGAGGCCTGCTACTGGTCCTCGCTCTCTCGCGGTACGTCGATTCCAGTCATTTTACCCTAGTCGCTGTGAAGTAGATATTCACAGCGGTCTTCCCCACTCCAGGCTCCTTCACCTGGCTGCTTCACTACCACCTTTTCCTATTGCATTGTACGGAGCGTTGGGTTTTCCTATTGTTGTCTATTGTCTTCACATTGCAATACTTCGCCTAATACTTTTTCCTACGTCGCTACCTTGTCTCTGGAAGACATTCATGACCTAGCTGGCCTACTCCCACGACCGCACTTGTTTACTATCATCGATCCTGAACCTCAGAGTCTAATACGCCAGCCAGACCACGTTTCACAGCCATACATCTTCGCCATGGCTTCCTCCGCGAACCAACAGCAACTCTTTCCACCTGTGCCTCCATCTATGTCCGCTGGCGATAGTCATGAGATGCGAGACTACTACCCATCGCAAGATGCACCACGACCTACAATAAACCAGACACCAAACTTCAAACCATACCTCGGCCTTCGAGCTAGGCTCTCGCAGATATGGATCAATCGCTGGACGATCCTACTGCTCCTAGTCCTTGTGCGACTACTCATCGCCATCGCAAGCACCGACGCAAGCCTCGTTTCCGCCCGTCGGGAAGCCCTCAGTGCTTGCACCCAAGTCGAGAACATCGGCAGCTCCATGGCCTCGATGCCCCACTACATGGCCAAGGGCGTCAACGAAATGACGGCCTCAGGGGTTGAGAAGGCAATCAGTGGCCTCATGCAAATGCTCGAAATGAGCGTCACTGGTGTCGAAGAGATCATCCTCTTCGTCATTCACATGATGACAAGTACCTACCTCTGCCTTATCACCCTCGCTGTCAGCGGCAGCCTTCACGCCGCTGTGGAAATCGGCGAAGCTATTAACAAACAGCTCGACGAAACCATCGAGTCTGTCACCGAAGACATGGGCGACGCCGTCAAGTCCGTTTCCGACGGCATCAACTCCATCATGGACAAGATCAACTTCAACCTCCCGGGATTCAACAAGCCAGAAATCAATCTGGACGACCAGATTAAGAAGCTCAAATCACTGGAGATGCCTCCTGATATGGCAGAGGGTCTCCAGAAGCTCAACAACTCCATCCCGAACTTCGAACAGGTGCAAAACTTTACGGATGGTATCATTCGCCTGCCTTTCGAAGAGGTCAAGAAATTGATCCGCGGCATGGACACTTTCGAGTTCGACCGCACAGTTCTTCCCGTGCCACAGAAGGAAGCACTATCTTTCTGCTCCGACGGCAACTCGATCAACGAGTTCTTCGATGATCTGATCGAGCTGGCCTACAACGCACGGAAGATCGCGCTCGGTGTGCTCATCGTCGCCGCCATCCTTGTTTGCGTCCCGATGGCGTGGATGGAGATGCGCCGCTACCGGAAGATGCAAGAACGTGCTGCTCTCTTCAAGGAGGGCCACGATGCCATGGACGTCGTCTACCTCGCGTCCCGGCCCACATCTTCTGGCATCGGCCTGTGGTTCGGCAGGCGCTTTGGCTCAGCTCGTCGACAAGCTGTCATGCGCTGGGCCTGGGCCTACGCCACCTCTATTCCCATGATGTTCTTGATTTCTCTGGGGATCGCTGGTCTCTTTGCATGCTTCTGTCAATACCTCTTGCTCAAGGCCATCGAAGACAAGACCCCAGAGCTCACGGATCAAGTCGCTGACTTTGCCGGAAAAGTCGTTGAATCGATGAACAACGCGTCCATGTCATGGTCTAACGGCGTTAACGGCGCCGTCGCTGACTTGGACAACACGATCAACGACGACATCTTCGGCTGGGTGAACACCAGTACGACGGCAGTCAATGACACCCTCAACTCGTTTGTGGATCAGATGAGCACCACGCTCAACGACACGTTCGGTGGCACTGTACTTTATGACCCGATCAAGGAAGTTCTCAACTGCCTGATCGGCCTGAAGATCGCCAGCTTCCAAAGTGGCCTCACTTGGGTCCAAGAGCACGCCCACGTCAACTTCCCTGGCGTTGCAAATGACACGCTATCTATTGGAGCCCTTGCTGAGCAAAGCGACTCAGACTCTGCCAACCAACTGCTCGCTGACCCCAACGGCAAAGCAAAGGACGAGATCACCGAAGCCGTCGAACGCGTTATTGACAAGCTGATGAGCGGCATTCAGACCGAAGCGCTCATCTCCACCGCCCTGATTCTCATCTGGCTCTTCATTGCCCTTGGCGGCCTTGTCTACGCTTCGACCCATCTCTTCCGCCGTGACGATCCAGAACTCGGACGTAATCCCTATGTCATCGATCCCGCTTTCGACCGCGAGCCCAAGCCCAACGCCGATTACCCCACCACCGCGCCGCCGCAATACGTGCCCAACGACTACAACGTGAATAAAGCAGCGCCTTACACGCTTGCACCCCGACCTTTTTCTACATTCGAATCTGGCGACAACATCGAGCCAGCAACAGAGAAGGTCGGCCGAGTTGGGTTACGCGCGGTGACCGACTCCGCACGCCCAGGGCATCTACGAACAAGCAGCCATGGCCAGCTCGCTGATCCCTCACCTGCCGACGACCGCTCCGGTCCGTTCTCCGACCCCCATCAATACACTCAGTCGCCCTATCCGCAGGAAAAACAGCAGCAGAACCCGTTCATCTAAGATCCATATTTTGTCGAAAACATCTGTAAGCCAGTCGGCAACCACCTGACCTTTCGGCTTGCCTTCTGCGTCAACCGGCCAACGACTGGTCTTACTACTAGACAATCCTACGAACCCGACCGACCTGCGATGAGCCGTAATTGCTCAGACCGAACCTTGCGTTTGAAGTTTTCTTTTCCCCTTCCTTTCACGATGATGCGATAACACGCTCTCTGGGGAAGGGGTTCGGGCACATGCACACCGCGTTGATGAAGCTTGCTTCTCCGCTGTGCATGTGCCGGTGTTTTGATTCTTACATTTTGGCCTTTTTCTCAATATACCCCAAACCACGATGTAATTTTCTTTGTGTTTATTTGTCTTGTGTTACTGCTCTCTCTTGCGAGTGCGTGTTGGATTGATATCCCCTCATCGCCAAAAGTTTGACAGCGAAGCTCTGCAGACAAACTACCTTTGTAACTTTCCATTACTCTCCTTGCTACCCGAGATGTTTTGCGTGTTTGTCTGCAGATGCCTTTCCATCAAATGATGAGGTTTTGTGTATATCTCCTTGAGTATGTCTGTTCCCGAGGTCCCTTACGCCCGATCCTCTGTCCAGCCCTCCTACATCCCCGTTTCCCTTGCCCTTCATTCCCACACCTCGACGCTGTATCGCCGCCGCACCCCGCCTCGCCGTGGCTTGCCCGCTTGGCGCGCTGCACAGGCGACCTCTTGGTGTGCATGATGATTGTGGTTCGAGGCTGCAACGGGGGTAGTGCTGTGTTTGCTGGACACGAACCGGCAATATGCGGATATGACTCGCTCATTCGCCACGCCCCTCCGACTCCTGTTTTGGCTCACCAGCCCACTTCCGGCTTTGTATGCTTTGCACCCGTTGCTTGTGGCTGCGTGTTTGGGGGTCAAGAGGAGGGGTTGATGTGCTGATTGGTAACAAGCGTTGTGCTTTCCTCCTGTTTTCCTTTCTTCCAGTGCTTTCTGAGAGGGCCGCGTTGGGAGAGATAAGGAATACATGTTGACGTTGAAAGCCGACATTTTTGTGTTTGTTTGTACGGGTGGAAGCATCCTCGTCCCTCTGGATGAAGGGTTGGTTTCTGCTGTGTTCTTTCTTTAGAACCGCCGCTTGAGTTGATCCTGGAGGCGCTTGCGCCCGGGACCTGTTATTGCAGGCGTTTTTCTGGCATGTTGGTGGTGGTTGCTGGATAGCCCGAAAGAACCCCACTCGAGTGGTGTGGCAGTGGGTGTGAAAAATGAGGGAGAGATGGTCCCGCCGTATGACGGGCCAACGGTAGAAATTTCAAATATCCTCCCTTATCCTGTTACTGCACAGTCATGTTTGAAGTTGTTTTCCCACTCGCTCAACCAGCAACACCCACTCTCGTTCTGTTTCTTGCTCAAATGCCTATTAACCGGGCGAGCATCTTAAGTAGATTAGATAGATTATCAATGCAAAGCATCCGATCTCGACATTGGCCTTCGAAAAGTGATTGCTTGTATCTGTTGGTTGAGCAGTGAACTGTCCGAGAGTGATGTGGCTGCACGTGGCTGGCTGGACCCTGGCCAAAGCTCCGCGGCAATGACGATGACCGCCGAGCTCCAGGCGCATCCCAGGCACCCATGGAGCTTGCAGCACCCGTCGCATAGCGACATGAACATGGCCAAATGAAGTCGCAGTCGATACAATAGCCACAATGCTCTCTGCATTCACCGCTCGACCCATCGTCGAGCTCAAGCAGCGCGACAAGTCGAAGATCGAGTCCATCCTCGCATATGGTACAGCGCCCGCCTGCAGCATCTCCCCAGCTTACTAACACACCCAGGCGACCGCGTGCTCGTAGGCTTGAACACGGGTGCTCTGCGCATCTACCGCGTAAACGACCAGATTGAGGATGTAGACCCCGACCGCAAGCAGAACGGCGACTCGAACGGTGAAAGCGAAGCACCTGCCACGCCAAAAGCCAGACCCGCCGACCTCCTACGCGAAGAGGAGAAGTTCTCGCGACGACCGATACAACAGCTGGCGATTATCAAGGAAGCGAATATCTTGGTCTCGCTTTCTGACAACTATGTCTCGATCCACGACATTCAGACGTACCAGTTGCAGGAGAAGCTTGAGAAGACACGGGGTGCGACTACCTTCGCTGCGGCAAGCAACATCGTCAAGGACCCCTCGACTGGCATTCCGTCCATCGTGAGCCACCTGGCTGTCGCCGTGAAGCGGAAGATCATACTGTGGACATGGCAGGACATGGAGCTGACGGGCGACGCGGTGGAGATCTCGCTCATTGCGTCCGTCAAGAGCCTGACATGGGCGACAGGCACCAAGATAGTCGCTGGCATGGACCCCGGCTTCGTGATGGTCAATATCGAGACGCAGGAGGTGCAGGATATCATCAAGCCAGGCGCGTTGGCCGAGAACGGGAGTCAGGGCGGAGCACGCTTCGGCGCTGTTTCGTCGTCAGGCATGGGATACATGGGCATGGGTAGTTGGGTGCCGAAGCCGCTCGCGACACGACTTGGAGAGGGCGAGATGCTGTTGGCGAAAGATGTCAACAGCCTTTTCATCGATACAGACGGGAATGCCCTCGAGAAGCGACAAGTACCCTGGCACTCCGCTCCCGAGACCATCGCATATTCGTACCCATATATGCTCACGCTGCTACCCCCTTCGAAGGGCAGTCTGGAAGTCAGGAATCCGGATACCCTGAGCCTGCTACAGACAATCGCACTACCCAACGTCAGCTTTCTCCACGTGCCGCAGCCGAACATCAGCTTAGCCCATGCCGGAAAGGGTTTCCTCGTCGCGAGCGATCGATCGATATGGCGCATGGGAGCACAGAGCTACGAGACACAGATTGATGAGCTGGTCGCTCATGGGCGTTACGACGAGTCGCTCAGTCTCCTCAACATGCTGGAAGATACTCTGCTTCTTGACAAGGAGGAGAGGGTGCGGGAGATACAGATACTGAAGGCGCAGGCCTTGTTCGACCAGAGAAAGTACCGTGAGGCGATGGAACTGTTTGTCGATGCAAAGGCCCCGCCTGAGCGCGTCATCGCGATGTACCCCAGGTCTATCGCTGGTAACTTAGCACCAGAAGAGAGTGTCAAGGGTGATGGGAGCGTTGCGGATGAGGAAGAAGCGAATGGAGAGAAAGAGAAACCAACGAAAGAACAAGAGGAAAGCACACCCGCTCCTGTAGCTACGATTGGGCGATCGATGATGGGCCGGTTTGGAGTCGGAGGACATAAGAAGGTTGATTCAGACGCTGCATCTATTCGCACCAACTCGGCCAAAGACGATACTATGGAACCAGCGAGCGTAAAGAAGAGGCCAACCGATCCCTCTCAGCCCGACAAAGCGGCAGCAGAGAAAGAGTTCAAAGACTCTGTTCGTGCTCTGCAGTCTTTCCTTACGCAATGTCGTGTCCAGATAAAACGCTACATCGACACGGACGGTAACCTCAAAGAACCTCTCCCCACACCCAGCGGCAGCCAACTCGAAGCCGAAAAGCCACCCTTCCACATCTTCATCGAAGAGTCCTCACTCCAATCCCCCGTCGATTGGAAAGCAAAACTGCTCGAAGTCGCCCAACTCGTCGACACAACCCTCTTCCGCGCATACATGATCGCCAACCCCAGCGTAGCCGGCTCCCTCTTCCGGCTCCCCAACTTCTGCGAACCAGACGTCGTGCAAGAGAAGCTCTACGAAACAGGTCGCTACGCCGATCTAATCGACTTCCTCCACGGCAAGAAACTACACCGCCAGGCACTAGAACTACTCGAGAAATTCGGCAAGAACGAAGCCGACGAAGAAGTCTCACCTGCATTGCAAGGACCGCAAAGGACCGTTGGATACCTACAAGCCCTCCCCCCCGAACTCATCGACCTCATCCTCGAATACGCAGAATGGCCCCTCCGCACCGACCCCAACCTCGGCATGGAAATCTTCCTCGCCGACACCGAAAACGCCGAAACCCTGCCTCGCGACCGCGTTCTCGAGTTTCTGCAAAACATTGATTTGAAACTGGCGGTGAGGTACCTCGAACACATTATCGAGGAGCTGAATGACCTGAATGTGGATTTCCACCAGAGACTTGTGGATTTGCTGTTGGAGAGGTTGAAAAAAGGAGATAAGGGGGAAGGAGGGGAGGGGCAGGGCAAATTTGAGAGTGAGGAGGAGAAGAGGGATTGGAAGGAGAGGTTGGAGGTGTTTTTGAAAAAGGGGAATGCGCAGTATAATCGGTATAGGGTGTTTCAGCAGCTTCCTGCGAATGGTATGTTGATTGCTGATATGAGAGAGAGAGGGAGGTTGAAATATGGAGTTGTTTTTGCTAACGAGAAGTGCAGATCCGGATTACTACGAAGCGAGAGCTATTGTGCTGAGTAAAATGGGGAGTCACAAGCAGGCATTGGCGATTTATGTGTTTCAGTTGAAGGATTATCAGAAAGCTGAGGAGTACGTCCTTCCTTCCTCCCAACCCACTCCACTACTTCTACTATTATCCAGCAATACCTCACTAACACAATCCCCACAGATACTGCAACCAAGTCTACGCCGCACCCCCCACCTCAACCCCTTCCTCGCGCCCCCACTCCCCGGAAAAAATCCGCGGCACAATCGAAGACACCGACCTCTCAATCTACCACGTCCTCCTCTCCCTCTACCTCCAACCCCCACCCCCACACCCCCCAAACTGGCCCCCTGCCCTCTCCCTCCTCTCAAAACACGGCGCCCGCCTCCCCGCCGCCACGACCCTCGATCTCATCCCCCCTTCTCTCCCCGTTAAGGACCTAGAATCTTATTTCTTCGGGAGAATCCGGAATGCGAATTCGCTGTTGAATGAAGAGAGGATCGTGGCGAGGTTGAGGGGCGTGGAGAAGGTGGGTGTGGAGAGGGCGGTGTTGCTGGGCGGCGAGGAGAAGAGGGATGCGTATGGCAGGTTGGCGCCGGGCGGGTTGAACAGGAGGGTTGTGATTGATGAGGAGAGGCATTGTAGTGTTTGTCATAAGAGGTTTGGGGGGAGTGCGATTAGGGTGTTTCCGGATAATGGGGTTGTGCATAGTGGGTGTGCGAGGGGGGGTGTTGTTGGTGGTGGTGGTGGTGGTGGGTTTGGAGGGAATAACGGGAGGAGGACGGGGGGTGCGGGGTGGCGGTAGGGTTTGGTCTTGTCGCGTGGTATAGTATAGCCCAGAAGAGGTTGTCGTTAAAATGTATATCCGTCAAGAATGCGTCTTCTTCATGCAAGAGACTCTCAGTCTTCATCGACGACTTCCTCGCCATATGTCTCCTCGTCTTTTGCGTCGTCGGCGGCTTTGTCGTCGGCCATTTTTTGCGTTAGGAAGGCGTTTACGTCTGCCTGGAGGGTTTTTAGGGACGAGGAGAGGGTGTCGAGGTAGGCGACGCGATCGGTGGTTGTGGGTGGTGAGGCGAGTGCGGGGAGTTCGGAGGTGAAGGTTTGGGGGTCCGAGGTCGGGGATGTGTAGGTCGCTGTTAGAGAGGGCATGTTGGGTGGTGAGTTCCAGCGGGTGGTATCTTCTGAGTAGGGGTGGATATGTTATTGGTGTATTGAGTGTTGGAGTGAAGGAGTTAGTCAATTGAAGATAGGCGGGGTCAAGCGGCTCGGGGTGGAGACAGCACGGCCACGCGACGTCGATCCATCAACGGTGCATGTAACAGTGGCAGTAGGATGCACGTCAGCTCCTCCCACGACTCCACCTGCGCTTGGATAACGCTGTATCTGCTACTCTCTCCATGCAGGCCATGCGGGAATACGACTAGACACGAGTTTCTGCTTCCCTCCTCCCCACATTCACTTTCCATCCGTCCCGTGTGTTTGGCCAGGCCTACAGCCACCGCCTCTACACCCTGTCCCTGCAAACAGCCACACTGTCGCAAAAGCAACCCACGCGGTAATACGAGAGGGCCTGCAGTGCGACGGCCCACGATGGCGCCCTCTTCACCCCCTCCCCAGACGCCATCCATCCACACGCCCTCGATTCACCGCCCCTCGCTCGACGACTCCGACTCGGACGGCTCCCACGCCACGCTGCAGCAGCAACAACAACAACAACAGCGCCGCTCTCCCCTGCCCACCTCGATACTCTCGCCCTCGTCCGCAAAGTCGCCGACGTCAGCAGACTCGCGCGGCGCCCCAGCGCAAAACTACTCGCGTCCCGGCATTGTGCGCGATGCAACACAGAGCCAGAGTCACATTGGCGCGCATCTAGGACACCGCCCCCGCCAGCGCTCCCAGGGCTACTTCGAGCCCAGTCTGAGTTCCATGAAGGAGGGCTCTATACGGGACCGCGACAATACCATGGCCTCGCAGACCCATCTTACCGCCTCGCAGATCGCCGCCCAGGCCGCATATGCCTCGAACCCCCAGCACAATCGCAAGCGCTCCACCACGATACCCGCTCCGAACGAAGCTGCGCCTGCAGGACGGGGCCAGCCCATGAGTCCGCCGCCTGTGCCGGCGCAGGTCACGTTTAGGACGAATGGCATTACGTATTCGAATGGGGTTGGGGGAGGCAGGATGGCCGCGACGAGCGCTGCGAATGCGGCTTTCCCTCGGAGTCCGCTCAACTCGCCTGGCATTGAAGGGACACAACAACCACACGCGTCGCCTAAGTTGGTGTCGACGCCCGAGCCACCGCAGCTGCAGAAGCCAAAGGAGGGGAAGAGCAGGATAGGCGGGAAGCTGTTCTCGTCCAAGCCGAAGAACATCAAGGTGGATAATAGGTTGGATGGCAAACACCAGGCTTTGCCGTCGCCGGGCAAGATTGGCATTGGCATTCACAGCTCGCAGGCGCTGAATCGCATGATGATGGCGGGGTCGACGACGAGCTTGGTTGATTCGGCGACGAATAGCAGTAATGCTTCCTTGTACTCTTCTGCCAACGCGTCGACATCCACGCTAGTACCTCCACGGAATGATTCTCTACCCGAGAGGAAAGAGGAGAAGCATAAACACCACTTCTTGTCACGACAGAAGAACAAGTTGAAAGACCAGGATGGCTTCGCACTGCCATTGTCGTCTGCGAGCAGTAATTCCAAGCCTACAAACCCTAGCGCACCAGAGCCGCTGTACTCCTTCGCTGCGCCGTCGTCGCCAGGGCATTCAAGTAGTTTTGCAAATTCAGTAACCGGCTTGGATCTCCGACACGGTGGACGCCATCTCCGACGAGCGAAGAAGGAAGAAAAGGCCGCCGCATTCCTAGACGCGCAACTCGAACCCCCATATCGAGAGCGGAACCAGTCGTTTAGCACCGAGCGATCAGAATGGCCGTCTCTAGCCAGCAGCATAACCACAACCCCCAACATGAGCACGCCCAGCCAAACTATCTCTCACACAACAGAGATGCTTCACCTGGGCAGCTCCTTCGGCATCAACGGCCTCTCGCCCGACGACGCCTGGCCCCTGCTCAAAGCACGAGTACTTTTAATATTCGAAGGAGAAGACCCGCGACCCCCCGTCGAAGATTTCAACGCCCTAGTAACCGTGCACATAAAACGCTGCATCCACAAACGGTCCCCCATAATCCTCATCGAAGACCTAAACGAACTCCTTCAAACCGGCTTCGGCTCTCTGGACCAAACCCTCCGCCACGTCCCCGACGACCGCCTCATCCCACACCTAGTAGAAATGTGGCTCGTAGTCTTCACCACCATCCTCCCCTTCCTGCAAGCCGTCTTCCTCCCCCTCGACCTCGAGTTCAGAGGCAGCGGCATCATGACGAGTGCCCAGGCAGGCGAGTTCTGGGGCGTCATGTTGCCTGACGAGATGAATACCAAGAGTCCGGAACATAGGAATATACCTATACTTGGGGAGCTGGAGGTTAGGCGGATTACGCTGCTTATGTTTAGGGATATTGTTATTTTACCGCGGTATGAGGCGCTTATGGCGATTTTCTCGCGGCTTAGTCTGGAGAATCTTAATGCGGGGTTGGAGAGTCCGAGTCCGATTCCGGATCATAGGCCGGGGACTGCGGGGAGTGGGTTTGGGGGCGCGGGGGAGAGACAGAGTGGAGGGGGGGAGATGGGGAGTCTGAACTCGACGTCTAATTCTTCAGCTGGATATCTCGAGTCGACGACGAGTATGACGAGTTCGACATTCGCAAACAGCACCCGCTCGCGCGCAACATCGAACACATCCGCTGGCTCCTTCTCTTCAAACCCATCCTCCCACCCGCCTCCCCACTACCACCCCCAATCCCTCCACCACCCTACCTCCTCCTCAAACGCCCAGCACGCCCTCCACCCAACAATATCGCACCTCCACCCACCCCCAACATCCCATTCAAACTTCACATCCAACGCCCCCTCCTCCCTCCGCCAAACCCCCATGGACAGCACCAAAGTCACCGAAACAGTCGGCCGCATGCTGCAATGCGTGTCCGTACTCGTCTCTCTACAGTCTAGCGATGATGCGCAGGAGAAAATTGGGCGCCTGAATAAGGAGTTGAAGTATAATTGGTTGGGGAGGGGGAGGACGGGCAGGCAGAGACAGGGGTTTGTGGGGCCGAGGGGGGGGACGAGGACGGGGTTGGGGATGGGTGTTGGGATGGGGAATGTTGGGGGAGGGGGTGTGAGTGTTGCGGGTGTGGGTGCGTAGGCGGAGAGAGGATAGGGAGAGGGAATGGTTGGATAGGTGGTGTTGTATGTGTACGTTTTGTGTCTTGGGCTTTTCTTGTGTTTGGGGGATACGTCTGCGGGTTGCGTGTGTAGACCGACGGTGGCGTTTATGCCTTTTCTTGTTGTTCCTCTTTCCGGAATGTACGATTGCGAGATGTCTACGACATCACCTGTTCGACGAAACCCAATGGATATGCAAACAAGCAAAGCAGTAACCTCTGGAAAAAGTAGCTTCTTTGGCCAGCCTCAACAACAGCGATCCAAAGAAGGACGAAAAGAAAACGACCTAGCGATGATAAAACGCCATCCAACCCCCTCTCTACCAAGGCAACTCCTCCCCACTCCTATGAAAGAACTTCCCCGTACTCTCCATCCCCTTCTCCCTCAACACATCCCACAGCCCCCTCGCCGCTTCATCCGGTTCCACCGCCCCTTCTACCTCCACTCCCTCCTTATGTCGCGGATCCAATCCCGTCTTCACAATCCCCGGATGCAGCACCAACACCACCACGCCATCCTCTCTCAAATCCACACTCAAACTCTTAAACAAACCATTCACCCCCGCTTTACTCGCGCGATACGCATACTGGCCTCCCGACTTATTGTCCGCCATACTACCCACACGACTCGATACCACTGCGATCTTCGGGGAAGAGGATTTGAGTATATTGGGCAAGAGCGCTTGCGTCAACAAAAGCGGGCCAAAAGTGTTTACCGCAAACGTCCTCTGCAGTCCATCCAAATCAACCGTGCGGAGCGCATCCTCCTCAGGTCTTTCCATGACGCCGGCGACGTGGACGACGAGGTCTATGGTCGTATCTGCGTCGATGCACTGGGCGAAAGACTGGATCGATAAAAGGGAGGAAACGTCGAGCTGGTGGGTTTCGCAGGGAAGCGAGGTTAGGGTTGGACCGAGGGTTTGGTCTGTTGCTAGGGCGGTGTAGCCCTAGATGGGGGCTTGTTAGGCTGTTTGAAGGGAGAGGGGAATGGAGATGGATGGGGGTTTTGCGGACTTCGTCAATGAGGATACTGGCGAGGGCGTGGCCGATGCCGGAGTTTGCGCCTGTTATTAGGGCGGTTGGCATGGTGGGTGTGGTGGTGGCTTGGGGGTTGGTCTGTGTGAAACCTCAATTTAGGGAGCATTGAGAAATCTAATGAAATCGGATGTTGTTCGCTATCTAGGTTTCTGCGTCGAGATGATGGACGTTGTTATACATGTAGGAAAGGGCCTATGACGTTGATGACGTCTATCTTACAACGTAGCGATCTTATCGTTACTCCTGTATCCAGTGACCGTGAGATGAGTGTGCTAGGTACTTCATTCGTGACAAGCAAGATCACGATGTTTTCAAGGCCAAGGAAAGTCGATGAATCTGTATTGAATGGCTCGTGGTAGTCTCTATGGCAGCGCGATACCGAATCTAGCTAGTCTACACTCCAGCATCCAGCTGCGAGGATCTTGCTCACTACCCAACAGCACAACGCAAAAGAATAACCACTCAATGCGCAAACCGAAAGTCCA